TAAGAAGTATTAATTATCCTAAATGAGATACTCACCCTACGTTTTCCCACACCGGGTTTAGAATTCTGCGGTTAGAGCAATTTCTTAATGCAGCATTTCTTTAATGAAACTCATTTTCTTAAGATCCTCTCATTTCGAATTCCTAACGTCCGTAACGTATCGATGAAAATTTTTAACGTTAAATCACGTTCGTTGAAAGGATGTCGTATATTGACAACTGATTGTCCGTATCGCTCTAAACTTTGTCGCGTTAGGATATATTTTGTTTTCATTGTCCCGCTGTCGCAGACACGAACAGTACGTGGCGATTGGAAACGTAAAGGAAAGCGCGGATTAGGTGGACGAAGATCGAGTGTAATCCCTGCGAAAATAGGAGAAATGTGGATAATTCAATATCGCCGCTGCGTGTTTGTGACTACAATTGTTTCCTTTTACAGTATTTTGCGATATAGTGTACCTATATTTCTAGCCTTCGGCTATTTTGTTACTATTTTTGCCTCGATTTAGCATATTGGCGCGATTTACGTACGACGTCACAAAAACAAGCAAAATATCTTGTACGGACGCCAGGATCGCAGGCGCGCGCGCATCGTTTGCTTAATTTATTCCCGTCTAACGTGATAATAAAGTGCACCGCGAACTCTCTGTATCCGGGAAATCCTGGACGGCTTTTCGTGGAAACGAGGGTGAGGGTACCTCTGGGGCTGGCGAAGGAGAAAATAAAACTGGGAATCAGACGGCGCGACGCACGGTGCGGCGCATCGCCGAGGAAAAACAGGGCAGCGGGAGGAAGAGTGCGACAGGTAGGCGGATTCCCGCAGGAACAACTGGAGATGTAAATCAATGGGTGATAAGGGCGACTGTCCCACAGGAAGGGGGGGGGGGGAAAGTCGCCCCTGCATCCTACACAATTCGAAAGGAGGACGGAGAGGTGGCTAGGCTCATACCAGGGAAAGGTGGGTCCTTGCTCCACGGAAATGCCTCGTTCGGGAATTATTTATTCGTCGACTTTAGACGAAAATTTTCGCTCTTAAGTGGCCCCGGTCCCGTCGTTCTTCTTTCGACCGCCTTTGCCGCCCCGTTCGTGAACTCCTGACCTCCCTTTCTTCTACCGATTCTATCGTGCCGTATCTTGGGGTAGGCGCGACCCAATTTTCGACTTGGTTTGATGAATCTTAAAGGTAGTTTAGTCACAGTTTTTTTGCACAAATATTGTAAATTTACGTGATTTAATAACGTACGATCACGTCTCGTGTCACGACGTACGTATCGCGAAAGAAAGTAGAGATTTCGTGACAATATAAGTGTGAACTTAAAAAAAAACCAATTGTATGTAGATAAAACACTTGTCTTCAATATAGTTTTGTTATTCTAGGTAATTAAGTTATCAAGTGCAAACTCCATTTTGACACAATATGTACATCGTTCGTAGATTGTTGTAATAGTATATAGACAGTATGTCGATTATACACGGTATATAGACCATTTGTCCTTCGAACGTAATCAGGATGGCAGCAAATCGTGCGGCTGATTGCTTCGGGGATCTCTCGATTTCGACGAGACGTACGACTACTGTTTGCGGAATGTAACACAGCGGTTAACAGTCGCGAGATAGCGGCTGGCAGTTCAGATAAAATGCAAAACATTGCCACGTTTGGTGACGCGTAATTACTGGCAGTACAAGTGCAGATCGTCGTGACGCAGTGTCGCGGAATTCACAGCAGTCTCTCTCGCTCGCTTTTTTTCCTCCCCCTGCTCTTTCTTCTTTTTTCACCTTATCTTGTTTCCCTACCGTGTTTGTGGAGACGTCCTAACTTTCCCCGCTCTTTCTTCACTTTTTCCCCCCTGTTATCTTCCGGATAGTTTCTGAAAAGTGTGAAATGGGGTGCGTCGCAAACGTTTGAATCATTGTTTCTCCCCTCGCCATTCAATTAAGGCAAAGATTATCGGCCTTTCGGAAGTTACTCCCGCGTCTCCACCCACGTAGAGGCGAGCTTTCGCATGATATATGCCGCCGTTATATACGTGGAAATCGAGCCGCGAGAGCTGACGTGTCGTTTGTAACCTTAATGTCTATGAATCGTAATAACGACCTTTGAAAACGTTGAGAGCTCTTCTTTCCTCAATTACCTTACGCCGTCCAAACGAATAGACGCGTTATTTTTCTCAATAAGCAAATCCAAAGCTAATGAAATGTATTTTTCGAAATACTTGAATGATGAGCAAGAATGTGATGATTTTTTTCATCAAATCTACCCCTTTTTTCTCATTCCTACATCTTGATTCTTATATATCAGAATTCATAGCTGTTACTTTTTCAGTACAATAAATTGAAGCATTTAACTTAAAATCGCGTAATTTCTCGATTGAATCATCGGTTAATAAAATTTTCTGTTTATTACATCGTCGTACGTTAATTCCTACGCCCGCGCAATTTTACTGAAACGTCGCATCGGTTGTGCATCTCGTCGTGACCATGCGATCAATCGTTGCCACGAATTATTCAATGTTATCGTTATCATAAATCCGCCGGGTGTCCTGTTCACGCTCGCGTTCTGCGACCACCGGAATGATCCTGATAAATTATCATGTCGGGGGTGGGGAGGGTGTACCGGCAATGCTGACGGCTGCAGGAGACGTGGGTGCGTTTAAATTTTTGCGCGCATGTATGCATCAAAGCCGTGAAACGCGTAAACCGACAGAAATACTTGTACATTTGATTTGCGCTGTTCCAATATCATATTCATATGTTGCACGGTATAAATTGCGCATCTTACGGATCAGTTGTCGAGAGGTTTCTGGTAAAAACGTATATTTGCATTACACCAGAGATTGATCCGCGTGTATTGTAATAATGTTATTTAAAAACGTAAAAATTGATACTTTTGATATTTACATGAGCTTCATTTTGAATTTATACGAGAAAAACATATTTTTATGAACAAAGTTATAATGCGAAAAGTTGAAGAATACGACGATAAAACTTTTATCGCGCACGCTTCAGTAGAGATGTAAAGGCGTTACAATTAGCGAATGATATGGCGAGATACACAATTTCGCAAACTTCATTTAACATTCTGTCCGGTTCGTACAGACCGCTGGTTTATTTTCTGATATTTACTAATTTGAATTTATTATCTTGTCTAACAAACAAGTAAAGGATAACTTATAATATTCCACAATTTATACAATTAATATTTCAATAAACTCAGATCAAATAATAACTCCATCTATGCATATAAAAGCGTCCGAGATATTAATTAAGCGTCTCATTGTTTTGTCACTCATAATTTATCTATTATTGCATATATCAGGGTTAATACATGTAAACGTACGCAATAATCCAATTTACATGTCACCGCTACTTAGTATATAAATATAATATGCAATTAACGTGTTGTTTAATATCGTTTAATGATTTTCATATGCGTATTCCGTTGGTTGTTAATCAATGTTATTACCTTGTTTTGCAATTTTTTTTAAATTTAATCAAGGCAAACCGGTAAAACAATTTGCGAAATGTAATCTGACGTTATGTTGCAAAATGATGAGAGATTTAATGGAACACATAAATGGGGAGACCTGTATTCGCCACGCGCTCGATAATTGAACGTTTTAAACGAAAATCATCCGTGAAGAATATATGGTTTCACATTTTGTTTCTTCCCGAATGTTTCCCGAAGGGGAAATGGGTCGCTTGCTGTTGTTGCATTTACTATATGGAAGATATCCCTATGTACGATATAATGCAAGTATCAACCACGAGGCCATAACGCTCGGCATAAAATACATATGTCTACGGTAGATACGATTTTGTGGACCCAGCCTCCGCGAGAGGAATTCGTTTTGTTGCATGCTAGCCTCCATCCGGTCTTGACGTATCCTTTCTACGTAGAGGCTGCGACTATCATTTATCCCAGATTACAATGCTGGTCTGTCATAAGGCGATATTCATAGTACAATATTGTATTCAAGATCATCTTAAATGCTATATAGACTCATAGTCGTGACATAAGTCTTAAGTCTCAAATATGAATCCTCCCGTATAGCATCTTAAAATCATACTTAAGACGACTTGAAATACAATATAAGATTATAAATATCCTTTATCGTAATAGTAGTAGTAAGAGACTTTATTTAATCCCCTGCGAGCTTACTAAGGACTTCGCTTCCTCGTAATATAAATTCAAACGCACTTATCTAGTAAACACGATTACAAAAGCAAGCGTACGGAAACTTTAATGGAAACCTAAACCTGTCGGTTCTTTTTGCCCTGTCTATTCGAACACACACATTTGCATCGCATCCTATGTAGCGCGAACAGTAGGATTAAACTTTTGTTTCCTTATTTTATTATACGATTTAGCGATTTGATTATTACTCTACTACATTGACTTATTTTAACGAATTATTTAATTCTCAAAAGTGTTGTTCTCCCTCTCTCCCTCTCTGTCTTTCTCCCTGAATACCGGTTGTAGCTTGTTATAGGGTCTTTTCTTACACATTTCTACTTGGATGAGGTAAAAAATAAATTATTACAAAATGCTGCACTAATGATTTCAATCTGAATGCAACACGAAAGGGTATTAGGAGAAGTTTTGTAACGTCAGTACACGTGCAGTAAAATGTGGAAATGAATTAAAAAATTTACTCGCGTGTAGCTTGAACGGGAAAGAAAAGTTTGGTCGCTGGAGTATTCATGCTCCTTCGAGACAAAGTAGGGCTGGAAAAAAAGTAATGGTGCGCTACGTGAGATTCGTAAGTAACATTTAAAATGTTCGAATGAGTGACCGTGCAAGGCAACTTTTATCGGATAACAACAGACTGAGGAATTTTTCAAAGGGGTTTCCATTACGTGTAGCACCTCGCGGAGATTGGACTGCATCTTTTACAATCGGCTCGTGAATATTTCAAGTTCTGCAGCAGAAATACAGTCGAACATATTTGAAGCGTGGAAGTTTTGAATTCGAGTCGGAGACATTCAAATGAGACGAGAAAAATTGGAATCAGGGCTATTCTTTATTCATTCAACGATTCGATTAGGATAATGCGATTAGGTTCCCTTGTATTCTTCTTCAGTTTTATCTTTATATTTAATTAGATTGCACCCACATAAAGCATTGTATAATCGGAGTTACACAATTATTTAGAAGCGCTTATATCAAGCGTCATTTAAACACTTTTCCTCAATTTCATAAATTGAGGGAAGACCATTAATTCTGTAACCCATAAAGTAAAACTGAATTTTAATAATCCACATGCATATCACTGTGATGAAGGATTCAATTTTCTCGACACAATAATAATGGTAGTATCTAAATCTATTAAAGTAATATTTGAAATTTTTCTTCATCGGTTCTTTCTTCTTCTCTTGCTCTTCGGTATCGCTTGATAATTCAGTTACGTCATTTTCTGGCTCCCTTTTCCCTGTTTATAATGTAGACTTATGAGTACGCTCTCAATAGGTAGAAAAATTAACGGGAAATTGATTAATTGAAACTTACTTTGTCTGATAGTTTCTCCATTAGCATTTTCCATAATTATGACGTTTCTGTAAATAGCAATAATATAATTAATATTCTTATGCGTTTACTTTTGTACAAAAAAGATTTTTTAAAGAGAGGTCAAATGTAAACGTAATACATATAAATTTCTAAGTAATATTATTTATTTATATACACGTATATATTTTAAAGAAACAAATTATTTATCTCTTTGTAAGTCGCATATTTCTAGCTATCTTTACGTTGCGGATTTGTCGTTAAATGATTTGATTTATTTACCTGATCTTAACGCGGATAACGTGTGGAATTGCAGCGGTCACGAATTTTACAGCGCACACTGCACGGGTAACGATGAACGATCGATGGTGACCGAACAACGCGAAACGCATAGAAATTAAATGAATAGCGGTTTTTTCGTAACTGCAGAAAGAATTTTTTTTGTAACAATCTGGAACTACGAGCCACAAGAGAGCGTTGTGGTTCGAATGAACCGATTGCGGCGCAAAACTTTGAAAAAGCGGACGGTGGTGCATATCGAACTTTTCATTTAACGGCGGACTTAAAATCATGTACGAGCTGTTTTGTAGGCGTGCACGTATACAGCTGGCGCGCATATACATATGTACGTATATGCGTGCGCGTTTTCCAGCAGCGTTTTACCATGAACACGATCGGCACGAAATGACAACGTAAAGCACGTAACGCAGTTGTTAAGCACTACTTTATGCTTGGAAGATAGCGCCGGGCATCGTAATATCGCTGTTTCGTGTTAGCCCAGGCTCACGTGTCCCGTAAAGGACGCTCGTATAAGACATCGACGTAATCGAAGTACTTTCCGCAGGGCAAAAGCGATACGGGAGTTTCCGGCGGCGAGATAAATTTAAGCTTTAATCAACGTGAACAAATTGCACGGAGAAAGTTAAAGAGATTCCGTGATATTAATTCGTAATAGTAAAGAAAGGCCAATTCAGGGGCGAATACAAAGGCACGTAAATTTATGAGTGTCTTATCAGCAAGTTCCTGATAAGTCGATATGCCAATGTTCCGGTCAACTGCGCGCTTTCTTTTTCACTTCGCAGGACGCAACTAAATTTAAGGTGGAAATACGCTCGTGAAAGGGAAATTGATTTTTGGAAAAGTAAAATTTATCTGCAGAAACGAAAGCAAATTTTATTATACATAGATCCATTTCTAAATTTAACTGACAATGAGCGGTAGTTTGTTCCAATCTGTCTCTTTTTTTTAAGAATAGTCTAGAAGAGCTATCAATATTTACGCATTATAAGTTTATTAAACATAGTAATTTTACGAATTAAAATATGACGTGTCCAGTGGGACAGTCCAGTGAATTAGTAAAATCTGTTTTCCTAATTAATTCTTGTTCGGGAAAGCAAGCGGCCGCGAACTGATTCGCAGTCAACGGAGCGCTATGAAACATTTCGAGACTAACGACAAAGCTGACTCATGCTAAATGAAAATTGAAACAGCTCTTTAATGTTCGCTTCGTAAAGAGACGGTGAGAGCTTGTGGAGTGGCTCGGGAACTATGTTTTCGCATTATGATCCCCACTGAGAAACAATGGTCAGCATACATTTGGAATCGCTGCGCCGCCATGAAGAACCGTACGTACTTCCGATAGTTCACCGGAGATTTCAAAGGTGAATTGGATCTTGAATTTTTCACAAGCGCCATATCGTTCAGACGGCTTTAACAGGAGAAACCGTCTCTCTGTATCCACATTTGGTGTGAGTGTGTTCTTCGCGATCTCTCTTTTAACGCAGATATTTTTTTATACCCACGGTGTAATAAAAAAGCTGCAGAGTGTTCCTTTGCTGCCTCTTTGATATTCGATGTGCCTTCTTTTTGCCCACGTCCGAATTGTTGGGAATATCGGGTATATCGAACGTATCAGTTAACCCGGTCAATATTGGTTATCTATTTACTCCGTTTTGTCACGTCAGGTTATAAATTATTCTCAAATAACGGAGTTTTTCCATGACGGCTGCGCCATCCAATATCAAATGCTTCGCAAACGTGAAATGAGTATTTCGTTTCGTCGTGCAAACACATATAATAGCTTGGTAGGGCCGTTGCGCGATCATGCACAGAGCAACTATTTCCAGTTTATCCGTCGCGCCCAAAAAGCTAACAAGGCCAGATATGGTCTTTGATTCTAACGTGTGCTTAGCGTATGTCGTGAACGTACGTCATCGTTGAGATATGTTCATTAACTTTGAAAACTTCTCTCGTATCGGGCTTTGCAGTAGTCGACTACTGCAAAGAGGATTTCAAAAGTTCAGATAGTTTCTGCGATGTAATCTTTGTTCTTACTAATACATTTATCGTATATTTCGCGCGTGTTTACGTCCGCTTCGTAATTTTGAAATGCAAAATACTCATCCGTTGTAATAAACCAGTATTCGGCGCTCTCGTGCCGAAATCGACTCTAAAATTATAAATTCCCGCAAGTGTAGCGTAGTCCACGTCGTTTTGCGAGATTATCGGATCGCGAACGATTTAATATCCGCGTCTGTGTATTTCGTTTATAACTATAAACTTCGGGGGGGGGGGGGAAATGCGTTGTATGAACACGATTTAGCAATAAACCCGTTTAAACGATACTCATATATGGGGACAAGGCAATTCTTCCCATACCACGGCTTAAAATTCGACTATAATATAGCGCTGATATCGCGCGCACAGAAAGTTTTAAGGCTTATTTTGCGGCGCGCGAGGGTTCACGAAAAACGGCGGAGATTTCGTCGATGGCGCGTGACTCGGATGCGATACGAAGGATCGCTTTGCGGAAAGTTCGGGATTCCTTTCCGCTTCTCAGTCTCGTCAGTCCGCCTCTTATACCGGGTGTGATTTCGATAACTCTCTTTCGTCCTTTTAATGCGTCACGATCAAAATGGCACACTGGGACATCGATCCGGCCCGCCGTGTCCGCCGACGGGATATATACGTCCGGGACATTTGTTTTCGCACGGTCGATCCCTGTCGGGGACGCGAACGAGCATCGCGTGCCAAATGATAAATACATCTAGATCTCGGCTATGAGCGCGAAAGCGATACAGTCGTAGATAACATCGATGAGATGAAATAGCGGTGGTAGCCTCGAATTCAGTCGCAGCCATTCTATTTGCCTTTTAACTGTCGAGCACTGGAGACCTTTTTTTTGTTGTAAAATTGATTTACTTTTTCGCACGTTACGCACAATGTAACGTTTGCACGTCAATATTTTACGAAGGAACTTTCGCGCGAATGTTAGTAATATTAATTTTATTTACTTTGACATTTATTTACTTTATTTACTTTGACATTACATTTAAATGAACGGAACCGCACTTATTTTGACATTTAATGCGTGTATACCTAAAATAAATGGCATCCGCTATTGTACTTACGCGCAATGAT